ACGCTCACGACTTTCACGACCACCCACTCACGACCCTGCTCACCTGCCCGCACGTCCGCTTGTTCACTCACTGCCCACATATTCGCTTGTTTACATACTTATTCGCCTGCGTCTCGTACATACCTGCCTATTGTTATACGCCGCATCGCTCGTGGAGCCCTTTGCCTCTGCCATTCTACCACCAACGAACGAGCCCCCGGGCGAGCGAGTGCTGGAGGACGACTCGGTAAGCACCGGAGAGCGGGCTGATGGCGCGGCCCTTCAGTCGGGCCCCGGCAGTTCACAACTCTCGTCCTTCGTTCTGCGGTGCCCTCGCCGCTGTTCCTCGTCGAACACAACCCACGACACGTCGGCGGTCGCATCGCAAGCAGTCCGAGCCTGAGCGTTCCCGACGGGAAACGGAGCTGAACGCGAGGAGCTTTACGGGATGTTTTCGAGAATTGACGGCGGTCACGACCGTCGCTCCTTTGGCGGCAACATTGCGCAATGCGAGATCTGGCGGGGACCCGCCGTATCACGCGGGCCTGCCGACTGGGTGCTGCGGGGCCCCGCCGACTCGGTGAGACCCCATCGTACTGCGATTTGCGCACGGCCTGTTGAACATCGGGACGCGAGGTTCCGGCGCGCATGGCAGCGTCTTCAAGTTGAGGGAGAGCGGGTTATATGGCAGGGCCTACACCGGACAGCATCAGGAAAATGCAGCATTTGCTTTGGCGCCGCTTTTCCTGCTCTGGGCTATCGCAGCGGGGAAATCGGGAAAGCCCAGGCGCAGTGGACTGGGGTTTTCCCGCTGTTACCGCTTCTGGCGCGCTTGTCGACCATGTTCGAAAGACGTCAAGGCAGGAAAAGCAAAACCGAGATTTTGCTGATGGGGAGTGGGAAAGTATGACTACGCAAGTGCTCCTCGAAAGTCTCCCTCTGTGTGAAATCAGTTATAACAAGTCAAATGAGCTGAGCCTCCCACGACGCGTGCACGCTTTGCGAGCGTGACTGCGGGGAGATCGGCGGCAGCGTCGTAAGAGGTCGTCTCAGCCACGTCGGGTTATGTGGCAGGCCCAGTGCTCCACTGAACAGGAGACACGGCACGGGGGCGGGAAAGTAAGTATGGCTACAAGCTCTATATCCAGTGGACCAGTATGTCCGACTTTGCCAGCGCTCCCGGCGTGCGACGTGAACCGTGATGCTTTTCGAAAGTCTGTCCCCGCATGAAACCTGCACAAGTCGAACCAAACTGAGCCTCCCATGCCGCGACTCGCGTGCGCGCTTTGCGAGCGTGATAGCGACTCGCGAGGAGATCGGCGGCAGCGTCGCGAGACGCCGTCTCAACCACGCCCAAGTAGTCGGTCGTGACGGGTGGGCGCGTCGCGCGCACGTGACCGCATACCTGTCAAAGTGCAATATTCCTCCTCTTCCTCCTCCTCCTCTCGTCATGGTCTCGATTCTCGAGGGCCTCATCCGTCCCAGCTTTTACCCGCGGGCCATCTGCCATGTCCCCCGTCCCCGCGGTCCAGCCCACACTCACCTCGACTGCACAGCATCGGCGCCCATCGCACATCGCGCCGAGCCCTACGGTCAACGCGCGCGCGCATGCTGGAAAAAGTCGAGCACGACGCTCGGGATCCGGGCACACCGCGCATAGCCAAAGTCCAGAGCCCAGAGCCCAGACAGCCCCGGACCGATGCTATTGCTCACGCAACACAGAGTTGCGCACGGGGGCGCACCGGGAGGCGGCGCGCGCGGGAGAGCTGTCGAGCGGACGCAGCCCGGCGGGCGCCGGCGCCCATCCTCTCGACACTGTCACGCGGCGGGCCCCGCGTGTGCCCGGCGGCGCGTCGGGGTGCAGCAATCTGGCGACGCGACAATGCGCGGGCCCGCTGAGCAAGCAGCGCGGGATGCGGAGGCGGGTAGGACTGGCTCACTGAGGGGCCGAGGGGATGCAGCGAGGCACGCGCTGGCGCGGCTTAAGTACTTAAGTAGCGGGGGATGCGCAGCGCGCGACACGGCAGCGCGCGCTGGCCGGCCCAGGCACACACAGGCTCTGGCCGCGGATGCGACAGCTGCCAGCGGAGAGCACGACCCGTGGTCGGCGGCTGACTGTCGCGCGCCGCGCGCCGCAGCGGGGCCCGGGCGCTGCGAAGCTCGGACGAGGGAGATGGGCGTTGCGTGATGGCTTCGGCGCGGTCGTGTGATGCGCGGGTGACGCGGGCTGCGGGGGTGCGAGCGGAGGTGCGAGGGGCTGGCGGGGAGAGAGCTGCGCGGAAGACCTGCGCGGAGCGCGCGACGGGCGCCCCGAGACGCGATCGCGCTGCGCTAGCCGAGGATAGCCGCGACGCGTCCCATCCGTGCGTCCGTCCGTGCGTCCTGCCTCGGTGGACGCCTCGACGCGCACCCCACTGCGCTTCCTGCCCTGCACCGCCCTCTGGCATGCTGCCTGCCACGCCAACTACGCTTGACAGACCTGGCGTAGCATGATGCGCACGGTTCCCCGCATCATTTACGCCATATCACTGAGTCGCTGTCTGTTGCTAGCTCGCTCTGACACGGGTGCGCGATGCATGGCGTGGGGCGGACGTTACTCGCGCCGAGGCGCGGTGCTGTGGCAGGACGGGGTGCTATCACGGCTATCGCGATGGGAGGGCTGGCGCGGGTGGTGTGCGGACCGTCCCGAGGGCGCGGCGAGCGGCGCTCACGGGGGACGTCCCACCCAGCTTACTCATGCGCACGAACACGGGCACGCTCCAAAGCCCAGAACGACGCGTTTTGCTCGTGAATGCCGCGCAGCGCGTAAGCACCACCACGCCCCCCCTCCCATTCAAATATACAAACGCTCAACCATTGATTCACGCCCCAGCGCCAGAACCACGACCCCTGCCTTGCCCACATGTGCGCCCCAATTCCGCGCTCGAGCCTCGCGCACGCCCAGCGGAAACCATCAATGAGCCCGCGCAGATAGGACCCCCTTCCCTGCTCGCGTCCACCGAGAACGGAAGTCTCGGCTCCATATACGGAAGCACGCCTAGCGCGCCCGTTCCGGACAAGCCCTGCTTCTGTCTCGCGCCCGCGCGCTTCTAGAAGCTGGCCGTGGAAGGCTTCTCGCAGCTTCTCGCGCGGCCGCTGACGTCGCCCACCTTCCCCGGCCTGTGTTTCTGCGTTTCTGCGTGGCTTTGTTTCTCCCGTGCAGCTGCGCGCGCGCGGTTACAACGATATCAGGTGTGCCCCCGGGGCACGGCGCGCGAGCCGCGTACAACTGGATACGGCACTACCGTGCTCGACGCGCAGGCGACTCGCGCAGCTGGCTAGCCGGGGCGGACGGGGGGAATTGTGGTGGCAGGCGGGGCGCATGCATGCACGCACGAGATTATCGATTACGCACCGCGATCGCGCGCGCCGGACGCCCACGCCGCCGTCACCCACTCGATATAAAGCCCCCGCTTCTCCTCGGGCCTCCGTGCGTCCGCGTCCAGCCCTCCCCTCGCCCTGGTCCTCGTCCTCGCCCGTCGCCCACCGTTCGCTCTTTCAACCCGCCCCCAAGCACCCGCCTCCGCCCACGCGCACGATGCCCCGCCACGCCCCCGCCGCGCTCGCGCTCCTCCTCCTGTGCGCCCTCGCCGCGCTCGCGCTCGCGCACCCGGCCAAGTTCGAGTACCCCCGCGCCCCCGCGCGCCGCCAGGACGGGGACGGGCAGTGCAGCAGCGGCACGATCCAGTGCTGCGACAGCGTCGCGACGCCGGGCAACTCGAGCGTCGTGCGCCGCGCGGTGCGCGAGCTCGGCGTGCGCGTGCGCTACAATGAGCCCGTCGGCGTCGGGTGCTCGTCCGCCGACCCCGTCAGCGTCGGCGGCGGGACGAACTGGTCAGTGCCCCTTCGCGGGATTGGTGTGCAGGGACGGTGCTGATGTGTGCTTTGTTTTGGGCGGCAGCGCGTCGACGCCCGTGTGCTGCGAGGACAACTCGTTTGGCCTCATCGGCATTGGGTGCACGCCCATCTCCATCGGGCTCTGAGCGCGCCGCGCACGTCGGACGTCGAAATAAAATGACCCGCATATACCCTGCGCACGGTGCGTCCCCCCCTCCCCCCTCTCCACACCCCGCATCATGACATTTACCCGCCGCGCAGCGCGCAACCCCACGCACATCCTACCCGCCCGCGCCGCGCCCCTCATTCCGGCACGCGCAGCACCTGCACAGGCCCCGCCCCGAGACCGAATCCGACTCGGACACGCGCCTCCCCCTTGCACCCGCCCCCGGACTTTCGGAATTTCGGACTTTCGTATACGTACCTCCTAGCACCGCATTGTGCGCTCGTAATCGCCCCGCCTCGTACCTTGAAGCTTGCAGCTCGCACCCCGCACCCGTAGCACTCTGTCCGCCCGCAGGCGCGCACGTCGTATGGTTGAATTTTATGTACACATTCGTTGGACTCGTCGCTCGGGCGCGCGCGGCTCGATGAGAAGGCGGGGCGCCGTGAATGGACTTTGAAATTGGGATTGGGTTGGTAAGACGTTGATTGAGACGTGTGCGGATCGCGATGCTTAATTCGGAGGAGGAGGCCAGGACGACCGCGGACCGCGGCTTCGTATCTCGCACCTCGAACTTCGCTTTTCTTGCGAAACAAGCTCTGACGAACCAATCCTTGCTTGCGGGGTCTCGCGTGTCGCTGTGTGCAGCTGCTTTCGAATCGGAGGCACCCCTACACTGGTTCCGCTTCGGGCAGACTCAGCACAGGCTCGGAGATCCCGATCCAGGAATTTTCGAGCTCGCACTTTCGAAGCGCCGTACGGACTCCGGCGCAGACGCGTCGACACTCTCTAGGGAAGCACTACACAAAATTCGGACGACGCGCAGAATGAATCAGCGCCCCCGGGGGCTAGGGCGTCGTGCATCGCGCTGTGGCCGCATCTGCACCCCACTTCGACGGCGACCTTCCGTCCCCCGGGCGGTCTCCATGCCGCGGATTGCCGCGGCCCGTGATGGGGGGTAGCAGAGAGAGTGAGCCTTTATGGCAACATGGCCGAGTGGTCCAAGGCGCTGGAATCAGGATCTGACGTCCGCCCATCCAGTCCGAAAGGGCGCGAGTTCGAATCTCGCTGTTGTCATCTACGTTCGTCATTTTCCTTTTTTCCTCGTTCGCCGTCGCGTCGTACGTCCCCGGCGGGCAGCGGGCAGTGGGCGCGGCCCCACGCACGCGCGAGGCTTACGCGTATGAGGCTTTTGGGCGCGGGGCCGGGCGCACGGGTTGGATTGGGCTGCATCGCGCAACGCGCGCGCGCGGATTGGGTACCTGGGTCTACGAGGGCACGGCGGCGGTGGCCCGTGTGTGATTACGCGGGGCGCGGGGGACTGGTACTACTGGGAGCTACGTGGCTACTTTGGTATAGAAGGAGCCGGCGAGGGGCGCCTGCAGCGCGGGACGGCCGGCGCGGGACGAGAACGGTAAATAAAGCGCGGCGAGGGCGCGAGGGGCGAGAGCGCGAAAGGCAAGGATGAACAGTTGTCAAAGCGGAGGAAAACAGAGAGTCCGCGGGGACGAAAGGACGGTCGAAAGACGGGGGCGCCCGTGCGAGCTCGCCCGTGTTCGGACGGGGGGCGCCGGGCGCGGGGCGCTGTGGACGCTGCGCGCGTGAGCACGCGATGGCCGTCTGTGTTGACTGCGCAGGGACGTACCGGGGCGGGCGGGCGCGGGGCTCAGAGGACGATCGAGATGGGGATGCAGCCGAGGTTGATCAGGCCCTCTGCGCACGCGGGGCGGGTGGTCAGCGACTCCGTCTCCCCCGGGCGCACCCGGGCCCAACGCGCAGGGACACTCACCGAACGTGTTGTTCTCGCAGCACATCGGCATCGCCGTGCTGGCACATGCCGCACACGCGCGTTAGCCACGTTAGGTCGGGAGAAGGGGAGAGGGGGAGAGGGGGAGGGGGAGAGGGGAGAGGGAGGGGCACTCACCAGCTCGCGCCGCCCGCGCTGCAGCCGTACCCGGCGAGCGCGTCCGGGTCGAGCCCGACGACGTCCTCGAGGACGAAGCCGAGCAGGCCGAGCACGCCGCGCGCGCGCTCGGAGTAGGCGGGCCCGGCGCTGTCGCAGCATTGCACCGTCCCGACGTTGCATTGGCCGCCCGAGGCGGCGGCGGTTGAGGTGGGGGCGGAGGAGGTCGAGGAGTCCGTGCCGGAGGCGGCCGAGGACGATGAGGACGAGGCAGGTGCGGAGGAGGAAGCCGAGGAAGAGGAAGAGTCGGTGCCGGAGGGGGACGAGGAGGCCGAGGCGGTGGGCGCCGCGGAGGTCGCGGAGGCCGGGGCGGTGGAGGACCAGGAGGACGACGCGGGGGCGGAGTCGGTGCCGGAGGGCGCGGGGGACGGAGACGCGGAGTCCGTCGCGGACGGCGCGGCGCTCGGGGGCGCGGAGGACGTGGGCTCCGCGGAGGCGGTCGGGGTGGACGACGGCGTCGCGGAGGGACTGTAGTACACCGACGAGGACGGCGGCGCGTACACGGTGCTGGAGGGCCCGTCGCAGTCCGAGGAGGCCTGGCGCACGCGGAGCGGCGAGGCGAGCGCGGGCGCCAGGAGGGCGACGGCTGCGAGGAGCGAGGCGAGCCCGAGGGCGGGGAAGTGCATCTTGAGATGAGAACGAAAGGAGCGGCTGGGCTGGTGGGCTGGTGGGCGTCGAGTCGGAAACCTGCAACGGGGTGGGTCAGTACTGCGCAGAGTCCGAGGGCGAGCAGGACGCGTACGAGTGCGCTCGACAGAGTGCAGCGTGCGAGAGGCTGGGGCGGCTTGGGCTGAGGCAAGGCCAGACGCGTCCTGGCATTTAAGCAGGCTTGTACCGAGAGCCGGCCGCGGAGGGGATGCGCGTCCGTGCACGATCACCCGATGCATTCACGCGCCGGTTGCGTCCTCGTGCAGCCACAGCGGAAGCGCACACACTCGTGCCTCGCCCCGCTCGCCTGGCCAAGCCCACCTTGATCCCACCCGCCGCCGGGCATATGCAGCAATCACACCCCTCGAGGCGGGCAGGACGCGTCCGGGGCGGCTCTGCCGGCGTATGCCCTTCCCGCTGTGCCCGCGTCCGAGGAGTGCCTGAATTTCGGACGTCGCCCTTGTGAGACTCGGTGCGCCAGCGCGAGACGGGCGGTCGAGCGCAGTCGAGCGTCGCTGTGTTCTTCGGGTGACCCGCGTTGAGCTGTCTGCCGGCGAGCGAACGCCAGGGACACCTTCCAGCGTCGAGATAACGGCGCAGGCGATATTACGCAGACCTTCCCCGGCCAAGAGAAAAGAGCCCTTGTGGAACCGGGACAGTGCGCACACTGCACACCCGCGAAGACCCGCAAGCCAGCCCCGCTCTGAATCACGCGCGCGGAGGAATCATACGCACCGGGCGCGCTCCGCACCGCTCGGCTCGCAGAAGGGAAGCCCCGCGCGCGAGCACGTCAGAAACCCCAGCAGAAGGCCACCCACCCGGAAACGCTGCGGCGCGTTCTGGAAGGCCGGGACGTGGCGTGCAGGCGCGTCATGCAGAGACGCGAGCAAAGTCGGAATCGAAGCGCGCTGCAGATCGCCCGGACGCGGAAGGGGACGCCCGGTGGCGCCCGGCGGGATCTGCGAGGTAGCGCTCTGCGTACACCTGCGCGCGCTGCGTCGAGTGTGACGTCCTTGTGAGCTCAGACTTACGGTGCGCGCGCGCATGGTTCCTTTGATGAAGCCGAGAGAGAATCTCCAGACAGAAGACGTCCGCTGTGCGGAGCAACCCTGTCTCGGCCCGGGTATGCTGCTGAGCAGTCGTGCGCACACGTCAAGGCGACAGTGACGCGTTCACGAGCCTGATGCATCTCTGAGACAAAGGCAATCAGGCCGGCACCCAGGTATCTGGTCTCGTCCGGGAACGCGCCCGGCGATTAGTCCGACGACTCGGGTCTCGGAGGGGAATCGGCGCGGCAGCAGTGATTGTCAGCGGCGCGAGAAACACTCGAGCAAAGGTCCCTTGCATACATGCCTTGATGGAGTCCCAGTGAAGACAACGTGGGACAAAGGCGGTCGTTCGTATCGCAAGAGTCGGAGTCAGCCCAGTCGATGAGTGCGATAATGCAGACATGTGCTCGAAATGGCGCCAAAGGTCAGTTGGTATCCTAGGATAGGCAGAAGCAGATTCCGACCGTAGCAGTTGTTCAGACACCCGCCCGGCGCTTGGGCCTGAACATCTCAGCTCGCAAGGCAACGCGCCGGGAAGACTCGTGGTCAAATGCGGAGATGTTGATGAGGCTGCTGCCAAACAGACGCAAACTCGTCCGGCGCACGTGATGGAATTCTCGTCGGACTCGAGCGATTCCATGCGTCGAGGCTGTCCAATCTGTTCACTAAAATACAGCTTTCCCAAGTCCTGGTACTTAGCATATTGTAACACAAATCCGACCCCAGCATTTCGAAGAAATTGTCAGAAGTTTCACGTGGGGTATAATATTTCAATATATAGATTTAATATATTTTGAGGCATTTTAAATACCTATATAAGCTTGGATTGCAGTTATAAGTGCTAGAAAATATAAAAATATTGACCCCTAAAACTAAAATCTCTGACATTAAATTCTGACAAACGTACGGAGCCAAGTGAGAGATGATCCGTCATTGACAAGATCGTCGGCGAAGCGGGTCGACGGGGCATCAAAATGGTTTAAAAGGTGAATATTCAGACGAAGGAAGGTGTGATATATGTTTTCGCGTAGTTACACTATTGCGCCAATAGCAGCACAGTTGTCAGCTCAACGCATTCGAATCTCGAAATCAAATTTCAGAGGCTCTGGCCAGCTACAGCCAACGTTACCCAATCAACCCGGCCGTACACCTATCCTCTCCGCCACTGATCGCAAAACAGTCGTCCAACTACCTGATCGAACACTACGACCCGCACAGCGCAGCATCCGCGCACTCCCTCAATAAACCCAAATCCCGAAAGTTTCGCCATAGTTCATGTTGACATCCACACACAAGGGTATAAGTTTATAACACACACATCCCAAGCAACGTCCCCCAACCCCGCGCGCATCAACATCCACATCGCCCCCTAGGCCCCTCTCACGAGCAGCAGGGCGGGCCCAGCCCGCCCCTCCCGCACCGCTACCCCCCCTCCGTGCCCCGGACGTCCCTTGTTCAGCGCGCTAGTCCAGGTGCAGCTCGGGCAGGTCCAGCGTGCAGTTCGTGCCCACGAGCCCGGCCACATCTGCGCCGCGACGGAGCTCGCATCAACATATTATCGCGACGACGATCACACACACTGCACGCACCGCCCGAGTCGTCCTCCCCCGCGCAGCACGCCGGCACGGCCTGCTGCACCGCCGCGTCCGGGTCGCACGGGCTGCACCCGCCGCACCGCACAAAAGTCAAAACCGTCAGCGGCCTTGTGTGGACGTAGTGGGGATGGCACGCACCACGGCTCGGACGCGTTCCCGCTCTGCGCGGCGCACGCGAGGCCGTACAGCGCGCCCGGCGCCAGCGCGAGGCCGAGCGCGTCCCCGAGCGCGGCGCTCCCGTTCACGACGGACGCGCAGCAGAGCGCGCTCTGGGCGGAGCCGCACGCGCGCGCGGTCAGGAAGAAGGCGTGCGTTTGCGTGAGCGCGAGGAGCGGGAGGGCGGCGAGGGCGAGGGGGGCGGTGCGTGTGGAGGCGCGCATTGTGACTTTGTGGGCAGGTTTCTGCGGCGTTGAGCGTTGCCTGGTGAGTGGTGGGGCGTGAGTGTGTATGTGGCTCTGGAGGGCCCCGGAGGTAAGATGAGATGCTGGTGTTGGTGCCGATGGACGGGCGGGGCGCGTTTTATAGCTGGAGCGCGGCGGAGGACACTGGTGTCCTGACTCCTGTCGGCGGGGCACTTGCATCTCGATTGCCCGAGCGGGGCGCTGCGCCCACGCGCGGCAGCCGCGAGCACGACAATCGTGCCATCGCATTCGCGGCTGCCACTACCAGACGTCGCGCGCGCCGGAGTGAAGGATGCGCAGACACAAACACCTGCCGCCCGACCTCCGGTGCGCGGCTGTCGCGTGATTGAAGATCGAAGCTGGAGCCGGTCCGGGGCACGCAGCCCGTTGCCAGTTTCGGGCGTTGCTCTCCAGATGTTCT